AGAAGAAGCCCCCAACCCATAAAGCCTGGGCCTCACTCTCATCTCCTCTTCCTCTTGCGCTCATCAAAACAAATTACTCTTTTTTACAAGCGGTGTGTGGCTTGCTTTTGTCTGGCCGTTTGCCCGGCGGGCCTCTCTGGGACTTTATGGCCACCTTGCATTCATCTTCTCTCCCTTCCTTCCTTCCTTTGAGTCTTTTTATAAGGGGCACCTTGAGCTGGAAGTGCATTGGGAGAGTAAAGGAGAAGGGTCCCGAGAAGAAGGGCTGGAGTCTCGACTCCTTTTTGCTACGAGCACTGGGTACTTAAGTCAATCAAGGGATCGTCAGCATACCCACGTTGTGGGAGTCCGAGTCCAAAAGACCTGGAGGGAAGACCGACGTTGGCCCATGCCTTAGTCCGCTTGGAACTGGACACTTAATTAAGGGATCATCTGCATACCCACGTTGTGGGAGTCCGAGTCCAAAACACTTGGAGGGAAGGCCGAAGTTGGCCCATTCCTTTGTCTGCTTGGAACTGGACACTTAATTACGGGATCATCTGCATACCCACATTGTGGGAGTCTGAGTCCAAAACACTTGGAGGGAGGGTTGAAGTCGGCCCATGCCGTTGTCCGCTTGGGACTGGACACTTAATCAAGGGATCATCTGCATACCCACGTTGTGGGAGTCCGAGTCCAAAACACTTGGAGGGAAGGCCAAAGTTGGCCCACGCCTTTGTCCTCTTGGGACTGGACATTTATTAAGGGATCATCTGCATACTCATGTTGTGGGAGTCCGAGTCCAAAACACTTGGAGGGAAGGCCGAAGTTGGCCCATGCCTATGTCCTCTTGGAACTGAACACTTAATTACGGGATCATCTGCATACCCATGTGGTGGGAATCTGGGTCCAAAACACCTCGAGGGAAGTCTAAAGTTGGCCCATGCCTTTGTCCGCTTGGAACTGGACACTTAATCAAGGGATCATCTGCATACCCATGTTGTGAGAGTCCGAGTCCAAAACACTTGGAGGGAAGGCCGAAGTTGGCCCATGCCTTGGTCCTCTTGGAACTGGACACTTAATTAAGGGATCATCTGCATACCCACGTTGTAGGAGTCCGAGTCCAAAACACCTCGAGAGAAGGATAAAGTCAGCCCATGCCTTTGTCCACTTGGGACTGGACACTTAATTACAGGATCATCTGCATACTCACGTTGTGGCAGTCCGAGTCCAAAACACTTGGAGGGAAGGCCGAAGTTGGCCCATGCCTTTGTCCGCTTGGGACTGGACACTTAATTAAGGGATCATCTGCATACCCACGTTATGGGAGTTTGAGTCCAAAACACTTGGAGGGAAGGCCGAAGTTGGCCCATGCCTTTGTCCACTTGGGACTGGACACTTAATTACGGGATCATTTGCATACCCACGTTGTAGGAGTCTGAGTCCAAAACACCTCGAGAGAAGGATAAAGTCGGCCCATGCCTTTGTCCACTTGGGACTGGACACTTAATTACGGGATCATTTGCATACCCACGTTGTAGGAGTCCGAGTCCAAAACACCTCGAGAGAAGGATAAAGTCGGCCCATGCCTTTGTCCACTTGGGACTGGACACTTAATTACGGGATCATCTGCATACCCACATTGTGGGAGTCTGAGTCCAAAACACTTGGAGGGAGGGTTGAAGTCGGCCCATGCCGTTGTCCGCTTGGGACTGGACACTTAATCAAGGGATCATCTGCATACCCACGTTGTGGGAGTCCGAGTCCAAAACACTTGGAGGGAAGGCCAAAGTTGGCCCACGCCTTTGTCCTCTTGGGACTGGACATTTATTAAGGGATCATCTGCATACTCATGTTGTGGGAGTCCGAGTCCAAAACACTTGGAGGGAAGGCCAAAGTTGGCCCGTGCCTATGTCCTCTTGGAACTGAACACTTAATTACGGGATCATCTGCATACCCACGTTGTAGGAGTCCGAGTCCAAAACACCTCGAGAGAAGGATAAAGTCAGCCCATGCCTTTGTCCACTTGGGACTGGACACATAATTACGGGATCATCTGCATACCCACGTTGTAGGAGTCCGAGTCCAAAACACCTCGAGAGAAGGATAAAGTCAGCCCATGCCTTTGTCCACTTGGGACTGGACACTTAATTACGGGATCATTTGCATACCCACGTTGTAGGAGTCCGAGTCCAAAACACCTCGAGAGAAGGATAAAGTCGGCCCATGCCTTTGTCCACTTGGGACTGGACACTTAATTACGGGATCATCTGCATACCCACGTTGTAGGAGTCCGAGTCCAAAACACCTCGAGAGAAGGATAAAGTCAGCCCATGCCTTTGTCCACTTGGGACTGGACACTTAATTACGGGATCATCTGCATACCCACGTTGTAGGAGTCCGAGTCCAAAACACCTCAAGAGAAGGATAAAGTCGGCCCATGCCTTAGTCCGCTTGGAACTGGACATTTATTACGAGATCATCTGCATACTCATGTTGTGGCAGTCCGAGTCCAAAACACTTGGAGGGAAGGCCGAAGTTGGCCCATGCCTTTGTCCTCTTGGGACTGGACACTTATTACGGGATCATCCGCATACCCATGTTATGGGAGTCCAAGTCCAAAACATCTGGAGGGAATGTATGCTGGGAAGGAAAAGGCCTTTCAAGACGTTGCCCAACTGTAGTAAAAGCCGTGAGAAAGACGTGTTCCTCATTCCTTTCTTCCTTCCTCCCTTGGGTGAAATCCACCGAAGACGAGCCGGTTTCTGCTGCGTGAGGTCACATCACCCGGGAGGAAGAGAAACGGGTGACTTTCCTTAAGAAAATAGGTGAATAATAGGAGATTAGTGATGTCATCCTCTGAGAAAGAGAGAAGGAGAAGCGGTTTCTGCAAACCGAGAGGAACAAGGAGTTCCTTGGTTGAGAGCCATGGCCTTGCCTTCCAATCCTGGCCTTTGTTGTTATTCTTATATTCTTATATTTATTGTTGTTATATGATACTTCACTGTCTTGATCATCTATCGGTCAGATGGCAAGCTATTTAACCTCTGAAAGCTGAAACCAAGGCCACAACAACATCTGTTATAGAACTCCAATATGCTGATGATAACATAGTTTGTGCATTCAGAAGACTTACAATGTCTGTTATAGCATTCCAGTATGCCAATGATAAAGTAGTATCTGTTTTTTCAGAACTACAATGTCTGTTATAGAACTCCAATATGCATATGATAATGCAGTCTGTGCGCATTCAGATCTACAAGGTCTGTTACAGAACTCCAACATGCCGATGAGAACGCAGTCTGTGCGCATTTAGAAGACCTATGTCTGTAATATAATATTATATTATATTGTTATCATATTATTGTTAAATTATTGTATTTATTATTGTTATAATTATATCATCATATTATTCTTATCTTTATATATTATTTTGTTATATTATTGTTATTAGTCATCATATTATTCTTATTATATTATTTTTGTTATATCAGCATGTTATAATAATTATATCATCATGTTATTCTTATCTTTATATATTATTTTTGTTAAATTATTATTATTAGTCATCATATTATTGTTATTATATTATTTTGTTATAATAATATATCAGCATGTTATATTATAATTATATCATCATATTATTCTTTATATTATTTTTGTTATATTATTATTGTTATTAGTCATCATATTATTATATTGTTTTGTTATATTATTATAACAAAAATAATATAATAATATGATGACTAATAATAATAATATAACAAAAATGATGTATAACTATAAGAATAATATGATGATATAATTATAATATAGCAATTGTAAATTTATTGTTATATGATTATATTATTATTTGGTTATTGTCATATTGTTATTGCTACTATTATATATTTATATGTATTCTTGTTGTATTATTGATTTTGTGGTCATACTGATATTGTTATATATTTATATGTATTATAGTTATATGATCATATTATTGTCATATTTATTATTGTTGTATTATTATTATATGTTTAAATTATTATTTTTATTATTATATTGCTATTATTATTGTTACATTACAATAATATATATATATTATAATAATATATTATTATTATTATATTGCTATATTATTATTATTATATTGCTGTTATTATTGTTACATTACAATAATAATAATATAATATATATTATATAATAATAATATATTATTATTATATTGCTATTATATTATTATTATTATTATTATATTGCTGTTATTATTGTTACATTACAATAATAATATAATAATATATATTATATAATAATAATATATTATTATATTGCTATTATATTATTATTATATTGCTGTTATTATTGTTACATTACAAATAATAATAATATAATAATATATATATAATATAATATATTATTATTATATTTATTTATTATTATTATAATTTCGTTATTATTATTACATTAATAATATAATATATATATTTATATATATAATATATTATAATAATATATTATTATTATTATATTGCTATATTATTATTATTATATTGCTGTTATTATTGTTACATTACAATAATAATAATATAATATATATTATATAATAATAATATATTATTATTATATTGCTATTATATTATTATTATATTGCTGTTATTATTGTTACATTACAATAATAATAATATTATAATATATTATATAATAATATATTATTATTATTATATTGCTATTATATTATTATTATTATATTGCTGTTATTATTGTTACATTACAATAATAATAATATAATATATATATTATATAATAATATATTATTATTATTATTATTATTATTATATTGCTGTTATTATTGTTACATTACAACCAATTGCAAGCTATTTTGTAGCAGTGACACAAACAAAGTATCTTGGAGTAGAACAACAACTTTCCAAGTCAGGACTTGACCATTGAAGAGGCCCTTCCCCTTGGCTCCTCCCCTGGGCTGAGGGGTGGGCGGGGCCTCCATGGGGTGGGCGTGCCCCAGCTGACGTCACGGGGCAGCATGAATGAACTGGCGAGAACTTTCCCACCGGCTCCCATTCAGCTTCCCGAGGGAGAGAGAGAGGGAGAGAGAGGAGCCCCAGCCATGGCCAGACGCCCCCTCCTCCTCCTCCTCCTCCTCCTGGCCCTCTCCTCCTGCTTGCTGCTCCGAGGGTCCCACGCCCGGGAAGGTGAGCCCACTCCCCTCCCAGGAGAAGGAAGGAAGGAAGGAAGAGGAAACTTCGCCCAACTTGGGAAGAAGGGAAGGAAGGAGGGAGGGGGGGGGGCACAAGGGAGACAGGCACATCGAGAAAGAGACCAAGACCCAGGAGAAGGAGGAGGAGGAGGTCTCAGCCCGGGGCATCCTCCTTCTTTCTTTCTTTCCTTCCTTCTTTCCTTCCTTCCTTCCCTCCCTCCCTCCTTCCTTCTTTTTTTCACCCTTCCTTCTTTCTTTCCTTCTTTCCTCATTCCTTTCCTTCTCTCCTTCTTTCCTTCCTCCCTCCTTCTTTCTTCCTTTCTTCCTCCTTCTCTCCTTTCTCTCCCTCCTTCTTTCCTTCCTTCCCTCTTTCCTTCTTTCCTTCTTTCTCTCCCTCCTTCTTTCCTTCCTTCCCTCTTTCCTTCTTTCCTTCTTTCTCTCCCTCCTTCTTTCCTTCCTTCCTTCCCTCCTTCCTTCTCTCCCTCCCTCCTTCTTTCTCTCCCTCCTTCCTTCCTTCCCTCCCCCTTCCTTCCCTCCTTCTTTCTCTCCTTTCCTTCCTTCCTTCCTTCCTTCCTCCCTCCCTCCCTCCCTCCCTCCCTCCCTCCCTTTCTTCCCTCCTCCTTCCCTTCCCTCCTTCCCTCCTTCCTTCTTTCTCTCCCTCCTTCTTTCTCTCCCTCCTTCTTTCCTTCCTTCCTTCCCTCCTTTCTCCCCCTCCTTCTTTCCCTCCCTTCTTCCTTCCTTCTCTCCCCCTTCCTTCCTTCCTTCCTTCCTTCCTTCCTTCCTTCCTTCCTTCCTTCCTTCCTTTCCTCCTTCTTTCCTTCCTTCCTTCCCTCCTTCTTCCCTTCCTTCCCTCCTTCCTTCTCTCCTTCTTTTTCTCTGTCCTTCCTTCCTTCCTTCCTCCTTTCCACATTTCCCTCCTTCTTTCCTTCTCTCCTTCTTTCTCTCCTTCCTGCCTTCCTTCCTACCCTCCTTCCTTCATTTTCTCCTTCCTTCACTCCTCCCTCTTCCTTCCTTCCTTCCTTCCTTCCTTCCTTCCTTCCTTCCTTCCTTCCTTCCTTTCCTCCTTCTTTTATTTTCTCCCTCCTTCCTCCCTTCCTTCTCTCCTCTTTCTTTCTTTCTTTCTTTCTTTCTTTCTTTCTTTCCCTCTTTCCTTCCTTCACTGGAGCTTTTGAAGCAGAAGGATCTGCCGGGAGAGATGAAGGAGCTGGACTGGATGGCCCTTGGGGTTCCCTTCCAACTCTATGGTTCTGCTCCTATCATCACCATCATTATTACAGTATTATCATTATAAGGAATGTTTGGCCATCTGTCGGGAGGGATCGGATGGTGCTTCACCATAAGGGGGTTGGGCTGCATGGCCCTCTTTGGGCTCCCTTCCAACTCTAGTTATCTATCTGTCCATCTATCGCACCTACCTCCCCACCCATCATGTTTATGTGTAGTGTTTGGATGGTGCCTCCCTGCTTGGTTGAAAAGGGGCCAGACTGGATGGCCTTTGGAGACCCCAACCTACTGTGTGTTTCGATTATTTTATGATGACAGCCTGGGCAGGAGGGCTTTGGTGGTGCCTAACCCTGCAGTGCAGAAGAAGAAGGGCCAAGCTGGATGGCCTTCGGAAGTCCCAATTCTAAGAGAGGCAAATAGATCATGGAATGCTAGAGTTGGGGCCTCCAAAGGCCATCCAGCCTGGCCCATCTTCTGCCATGCAGGGAGGCACCACCAAAGCACCAAAGAGAGAGGTGATAGAGAGATAAATAGAGCATAGACTCCACCATCTCTCTCTATGGTGCTTTGGTGGTGCCTCTCTACCGGGCAGAAGAAGAACGGTCAGACTGGATGGCCTTTGGAGGCCCCAACTCTGGGATTCTATGCTTTGTTTACCTCTTTATCGTCTCTCTTTTTGGTGCTTTGATGGCGTTTCCCTGCCTGGGTGAAGGAAGTCAGACTGGATGGCCTTTGGAAGACCCAACTCTAGGATTCTATGCTTTGTTTACCTCTCTACCATCTCTCTTTTTGGTGCTTTGGTTGTGTTTCCCTGCCTGGCTAAAGGAGGTCAGACTGGATGGCCTTTGGAGGGCCCAACTCTAGGATCCTATGCTTTGTTTACCTCTCTACCATATCTCATTTTGGTGCTTTGGTGGTGCCTCCCTGCCTGACTGAAGGAGGTCAGACTGGATGGCCTTTGGAGGGCCCAACTCTAGGATTCTATGCTTTGTTTACCTCTCTGTCCTCTTTCTCTTTGGTGCTTTGGTGGTGCCACCCTGCAGAGAAGAAGAAGGGTCAAGCTAGATGGCCTTTGGAGGTCCCAACTCTAGGACCCTATGCTCTATTTACCTCTCTACCATCTCTCTTTTTGGTGCTTTGGTTGTGTTTCCCTGTCTGGCTGAAGGAGGTCAGACTGGATGGCCTTTGGAGGGCCCAACTCTAGGATTCTATGCTTTGTTTACCTCTCTGTCCTCTCTCTCTTTGGTGCCACCCTGCAGAGAAGAAGAAGGGTCAGGCTAGATGGCCTTTGGAGGACCCAACTCTAGGATCCTATGCTCTATTTACCTCTCTATCATCTCTCTCTTGGGTGTTTTGCTGGTGCCTCCCTGCCTGGCTGAAGGAGGTCAGACTGGATGGCCTTTGGAGGGCCCAACTCTGGGATTCTATGCGTTGTTTACCTCTCTGTGGCCTCTCTCTTTGGTGCTTTGGTGGTGCCACCCTGCAGAGAAGAAGAAGGGTCAGGCTAGATGGTCTTTGGAGGGCCCAACTCTGGGATTCTGTGCTTTGTTTACCTCTCTTTTTGGTGTTTTGATGGTGTTTCCCTGCCTGGCTGAAGGAGGTCAGACTGGATGGCCTTTGGAGGGCCCAACGCAAGGATTCTATGCTTTGTTTACCTCTCTGTCGTCTCTCTCTGGGGCTTTAGTGGTGCCACCCTGCAGAGAAGAAGAAGGGTCAGACTAGATGGCTTTTTTAGGACCCTATGCTCTCTCCCATCTCTCTTTTGTGTGCTTTGGTGGTGCCTCCCTGCCTAGGTGAGACTAGGTGTTCTTTGGAGGGCCTTCCTTCTCCCTTTGCCCTCTCTTTGGGGCCTGGGTGACTCTTGCGAGTGTCACTTGGGGAAGGGGAAGAGCCTGGCACACCTTGGTTACACAATGGAAGGAGGGCCGGGCCCACTGAGTCACCCCTCCTTCCCTTCCTTCCTTGCGGGACATTCCTCCTCGCTCACCTTTGGGTGCATATTTCCCAGGTGACGAAGAGGAGCCCTCTCTCTTTCTCTCTCTCCTTGGCAACCCAAAGGGCAGGGCTCCTTCCCAGTCTTCCCAGTGGGCAGCCCCATGGGACGGCGGCGGGACAAACTGGGAGCCTCCCTTAGGCAAGCCCAGGCCTGTCCTGCCCTCCTTCTCCAGGGACGGATGGGTTTCCGCTCTGAGTAGCCACAAAGCTGCAAAGTCAATCAGGGAGGGTCTCTGCAGAGAGGTCTGTTGGAAACTAGACAAGTGGGGTTTGTATATCTCCCTGTGGAATAATGTCCAGGATGGGAGAAAGGACTCTTGTCTCCTTGAAGCAAGTGTGGATGTTGCCGTTGGCCAATTGCATAGCCTGGCAGCTGCAAAGTCAATCAGGGATGGTCTCTGCAGAGAGGCTGGTTGGAATCTTGGCAAGTGGGGTTGATATATCTCCTTGTGGAATGATGTCCAGGGTGGGAGAAAGGACTCTTGTCTGCTTGAAGCAAGTGAGAATGTTGCCATTGGCTAATTGAATACCCTGTCAGCTGCAAAGTCAATCAGAGAGGGTCTCTGCAGAGAGGTCTGTTGTAAACAATGCAAGTGGAGTGTGTATATCTCCTTGTGGAATGATGTACAGGGTGGGAGGAAGAACCCATGTCTACTTGAGGCAAGTGGGAATGTTGCCATTGGCTAATTGAGTAGCTTGGCAGCTGCAAAGTCAATCAGGGAGGTATGTTGGAAACGAGGCAAGTGGAGTGTGTATATATCCCTGTGGAATGATGTCCAGGGTGGGAGGAAGAACTCTTGTCTGTTGGAGGCAAGTGTGAAGGTTGCCATTCGTCAGCTTGATTTGCATTGAATGGTCTTGCAACCGCAAAGTCAATCAGTGAGGGTCTCTGCATAGAGATCGTGAAGGAAGTGGAGTGCATACACATGCATATTTGTGGAATAATGTCCAGGGTGAGAGAAAGAACCCTTGTCTGTGTGAAGCAAGTGTGGATGTTGCAATTGCCCACCTCGATCTGCATTGAGTAGCCATGAAGCTGCAAAGTCAATCAGTGAGGTGTCCGCATAGAGGTATTAAGTGGAGTGCAGTGGAATAATGTCCAGGGTGGGAGGGAAAACCCTTGTCTGTTGGAAGCCAATGTGAATGTTGCCATTGACCTTGTTTAGCATTGAATGGCCTTGCAGCTGCAAAGTCAATCGGTGAGGGTGTCCGCATAGAGGTCTGTTGGAAATGAGGCAGGTGGGGTTTTATATATCCCTGTGGAATGATGTCCTGGGTGGGAGAAAGAACTCTTGTCTGCTTGAAGCAAGTGTGGATGTTGCCATTGGTCAATTGTCTAGCCTGGCAGCTGCAAAGTCAATTAGGGAGGGTCTCTGCATAAAGGTAGCGAAGCAAGTGAAATGCATATATCAGTGTGCAATGATGTCAAGGGTAGGAGAAAGAACCCTTGTCTGTGTGACGCAAGTGTGAATGCTGCCATTGGCCAGCTTGATTCGCATTGAGTAGCCTTGCAGCTGCAAAGTCAATCAGTGAGGGTCTCTGCAGAGAGGTCTGTTGGAAATGAAACAAGTGGGGTTTGTATATATCCCTGTCGAATAATGTCCAGGGTGAGAGAAAGAACTCTTGTCTGTTGGAGGCAAGTGGGAATGTTGCAATTAGCATTGAGTAGCCTTGCAGCTGCAAAGTCAATCAGTGAGGGTCTCTGCATAGAGGTAGCAAGTGGAATGTGTGTGTGTGTGTGTGTGTGTGTGTATCCCTGTGGAATGATGTCCAGGG